TTTTTTTTTTGATTATTTTTCACAATGAAGTATAATATAAATGACACAAGGCTTTCTTTATATCTGTTTAATTTTCTTTTTCCATTTGCCGAAATGTGTTTCGGGTCTTTGCCCCTCTTCTGTCAGCTTTTTCCGTTATGTTGTTATACATTTAATTTTCCTAAAAGTATAATAGAAATGCATCTTTGCAAATGGAAAAGGAGAATCAAATAAATGTAAAGAAAGCCTTGTGTCATTTATACTGTATTACACTTAATTGTGAGAAATAATCAAATAGGAAGATTGACATGGTTTCATATAAAGAAGATTTTTTCATTTGGTAAAACACTTTATCAAATGAATATGCAATTCAAAAGTTACAGCCATTTACAATTCGATATGAAATTTTGTAAGAAAATAAAGATTTCTTGATTTAACTTAGCATGCAATACGATTATAATCTTATTGAATGACAACTTAAATCAATGAATATTAATTGTATTGAAAACAAATATCTTTTTTAGTTTTGTAAAGATGTTGATATAATTCTTCTCATTAAAACATTTAAAAAATATGGAAATAATATTTTATATATGCTAAGTTTAAGTAAATTAAATATTTTATTGATATATGTTCTGTTCTGTTAAATTAATATGGGTAATATTTTTATAATTATATTAATTTAATAATAAATTACTTGATATTTAACTATTTCTATTTATTTTTGTTTATTGTTTAATTATTCTGCTTGTAAGATATTTGAAAATATAGAATAATTTTTAACTGTAGCTGGACATTTTACATACCAGTGTCGTAACTTCCTGAAAGTGAATCCTAACAAAGATATTGTATTGGACATAAGTAGCACAAGTTCTGAAACAGATAGTGATGAAGAATTTATCTCTCCTTTATCAAAACTCAGAGGTAAATCTATTATTTGCATATAAGATTTATTTTGGAAAATATTTAAATTAATATATTAAATAAAATCCTTACAGTCCATTAGAGACCCAAAATTTCTCCCAACATAAACAAAATTTTCCCAAAAATTTAAAGTACAAAATTGATAAATAATTTTAATTTAAATGATATTATTTTTCATTTTAATAATTTTGATTGTGTAACAAAACAATTTTTTATTTTATTTTTTCCAGTTTATTAATATTTTAAAAAGTTCAGGAAATTTATTAAGAGAAATTTAATAAAATACAGTATATACTTTTGTACATGAATTATACAGGATTTGTTAATGAATAATAAATAAATAATTATTTTTTTCTTTTTTTCTAAGTGGTATAGATTTATGGTTGTGGATTAACAACAGAGTAAACTGTACTTCAATTTAATAAAACATTTTCTTTTTAGTTATATATATTTTATAATTGCCAAATTATTACAACTATTAATTAGAAAAAATAAGTAATTAAAAAGTTCAAGAAGCAATAGCATATGTGCATATTAAGTCAAATGCTGTTTTATTTTGCCAATATGCCATACCATAAGAGATGTGAGGGTCAGGGAATTTGTACAAAGCTTTATCAGGGAAAGTTATAAAATTTAAAACAAAATTTGAATAGGAACCCTGTTCTGATGTATTTCAAGTTTGGAATGTTGATGAGTAATATCAAAATATTATCAAAACATGACTTTGGTTTTAAATTTTTCATTTCAATATTTTTTCAAATTTATTTTAATGAGCTTTAAAATATTTTAAAATATGATTTGAAGAAATCAGATGTAATTATTACTTTATTGTATACAATTTATATTGTATGCTTTGCTAAGTTTTATAATATATATAAATAATTTTATATATTTTTCATTTGTATTTATAATTAATTTCTGTATTTTAAATCTTTCTAAGAATTCAAACAATTCACAACACAAAAAAAACATTAAAAAAGTTGTAAATGGTTCAACTTTTTAATGTTTTTCAAATGAATTAGTTTTGAGAAGTCATGTGATTTAGAAACTGATTTGTTATACCATTGTGTTAAGATCTTTTTTATTTACTTTTATCAGGGCTTTCATTCACTGCTAATCAAATCATTTTTGCAAATAAAACTATTCAAACAATAAAATAACTATAAAAAAAAAACTATAAAATTCAAAAAATATTTTTATTTACTTTTTGGCTATGTTAGAAATGAATAAATCTTAATTTCTTGTGATTTGAAAATAAACAACTTATAATTAACTATTCTTTGTTCCTGTTTTATGATAAAGTTCTTAGATGATACATCCCATGCAAAGTTTGTGTTTTTTACATTTCCTTTGTTGTTTCACTAAAAATCTTTTTATATAAATATTATAGTTAATAGATAACCAAAGCCACAAATGCAAGAAGCAATATTTATAAATTTTACAGGGTTTTTGGGTTATAACACATTTCCATACTCAGTGTACATTTTTTAGATTGATAGTGACCTTGAATTTCTCTAAGTGGTTTTTCTTTATTTTTATCTTTTTGTAAAATTTTGTGTATGCAATGTAGACATGATGTAAGTAATATTTAAGGTATTGTTTTATCATTGTAAGATAATTACAACGGAAAAAACCTTTGTAGTATTTACATAAGGTACATTATAGATAGATAAATTAATTTTTGTTTCTTTTTGTTTTTGTTTACTTGTACTTAAAACATTGTATTATAATATATCATAGATAAAAATAAATAAATAATTATTTTGGGGCAATAAAAAAACCGTATTATCAAATTGGACAATACACAATCCATAATATTCATAGTGAAGATTGTAGAGCATTACTCATTCAGGTTTAATGGGGCTTTTATATCACAATAAAATATTAAGATTCTCTTCTTGTATTCAGCATATTTTGAGAATATAAGACTGCACTGAAATATTTGACTGAAATTTTTCACAAATTATTCAAATTACTAAATAATTTTTTCAGGCAGTGGGTTCCCTGCTTTTATTTAACTTTATTATATGTTTCATATTTCATTTTAAAGGTGAAATTACAAATCTCATTAAATAATGCACTAAGAAATTAAGACTACATTTACAATAAATAAATCTATTATGAAGTTATTAGAATGATATTCAATTTTAAAATTCACTGAAAGAATTAATATTTTTTAAAATCAGCAAACAGTGAAAAAATTGTATTGTTAAAACATTATTATAGCTTTTATTTGATATTATTGTGAAACTAAATTGTTTATCACAATAGACAAGTAACATAACAATTTCATCTTTAAATGAAAATTATGGTTATTCATGTCTGAATAAAGAAATAGTGAATAACTTATTTCATAACAAGATGTTAGTGTTATTTAATTAGGTAAGATTATAATTTAATCAAATCTTTCAAATTTGATGATATATTTTCAAGGAATTACTTAGAATAATTTTCTTAATTTTGAATGTAATATTTTGATTATTAAATATCATATAGAAATGGAAGCAAAACAAACTTCAGCTGAAAATACATCTCAAGATAAACAGGAAAAAAAGAAGCTGAAAAGGTATTTTTTAAGCAGTTAAAAAAGAAATAATTTATTTCAATTTCTAAATTTCTTTGTTTACATTTTTGAATAATCACAAAATTTTTGAGACATTTATTTAGGTCAGGGCTTCTTAAACTGTGGGTCACAACTCTAACGGGGGTTGCAAAAATTTTATAAATACATAGTACAAAATTTTACTGTTAAGCAATGTGTTTTCAGCATTGATGATTATAAAATCAAGATGTTAGTCAAGTTTGAAAAACAAGAAACTTTGAAGATACTTCATATACTGTGATATTAAATACATGAATTGTTTTATGATTTATTATTAGAAAGAGATTTTGTTTGTTTACTTATTTTAAGTACCTGTATACTGGGGATCTTCAGGTAAAAGGGCATTGTGAGTGAAAAAGTTAAAGAAGCCCTGATTTAGATCAATTGTTTAATTTATTAAACAATTAAATAAATTGACATTTATTTAGTTTTTAGAAAAAAATTAAAAATTTTTAATGTACATTAATCTGAAATATTAACATCATATTAAACATTAAAAAAATTTTCATAGAAAATAAGTTTTTTAATATAAATATTAACCGATAATATATAAGATGTTTATTAAATCTTTGATGAGTAATTTTCTTTTTAGTTATATATATTTTATAATTGCCAAATTATTACAACTATTAATTAGAAAAAATAAGTAATTAAAAAGTTCAAGAAGCAATAGCATATGTGCATATTAAGTCAAATGCTGTTTTATTTTGCCAATATGCCATACCATAAGAGATGTGAGGGTCAGGGAATTTGTACAAAGCTTTATCAGGGAAAGTTATAAAATTTAAAACAAAATTTGAATAGGAACCCTGTTCTGATGTATTTCAAGTTTGGAATGTTGATGAGTAATATCAAAATATTATCAAAACATGACTTTGGTTTTAAATTTTTCATTTCAATATTTTTTCAAATTTATTTTAATGAGCTTTAAAATATTTTAAAATATGATTTGAAGAAATCAGATGTAATTATTACTTTATTGTATACAATTTATATTGTATGCTTTGCTAAGTTTTATAATATATATAAATAATTTTATATATTTTTCATTTGTATTTATAATTAATTTCTGTATTTTAAATCTTTCTAAGAATTCAAACAATTCACAACACAAAAAAAACATNTCGTAATCCTTCCCTCCCAGTGTGGATGTCATTTGTGGACGGCCCTTAAGCATGAGTAAATGGCAATTAAGTTTAATATCTTAATTGCCAATTGAAATTTTACAGAAATGAGTAAGTATAATTATCATGATATACTTGGGATCTGATGGTTCGATAGGATGCATTATTGCTTACGATGCACTAGATTCTTTAACGTTCGCTCTTTAGCCCCGAACTTTGACGGTTTTTGTGTGTATGTCGAACGATAAACCTTTATATTGCTGTTGTTGTATGGCTGCATTACGGTTTTGGTACAGTTGCTGGTGTAATCTGTGTGTCGTAATATGTTAATTTGATAAAATGTAGGCTGTTATTTTGGATCCTGTGACCCATATAATGTATACACTTTGGACTTGGTATTATTTATATTTTTTTCGGAGTAAATTTCTAATTGTGAATAAAGAACTGTATTTATCTGTATTTGGTATTATATTAAAGAATTTGTGTTAAAATGTACTGATTTGGAACAAGTATTTTAGAATAAATTTTGTTTATAAAACTGTGTCCATGCAAATCTACTTAAATGGAAAATCTTTTATGCAGATTAAAACAGCACAATCTAAATCTAATTCAGTCTAAAATATCATTTTAATGGTTTTTGACATAAATTTCAATTTTAGATGCTATATCTTCATCCAGTCATCCACAACATATATTGTATAGGAAATATACTAATATAGATTTATTTTAAACATTCCATAATAATTTAAATTATTTTAATTGTGTTTTCCATACAAGATTGTGAAAACTGTTTGAACAAATCATTATTTACTTGTTATGTAAAATGAATTACTTGTTTCATAATTATATAGGTCAACTAAAATGAAATATTCAAGAAGTAAAGTACTCTAAAAAGCATTTTGACTGATCAAAATAATTTTTTTTCTGTTAGTTGTGAAATAAAAATATTTGTAATAAAATGTTGATATGCTAGTTTTTCATGTATAATTTTTTTTTACAATCAATTAGTATAGCTTCATTAAAATAAAGTTAGATTAATTTAATTTTGAAAATAATCATGTTGGGCTATGTTTTGATAATAACCGTAACCCTTACTCAATTAATAACTATGTAACTAATGTATGTAATAAAATAATATAATATTAAGATCTAAATAGTTAAAAAGTGTTAACAAAAAATAACAATATTAAACATAAGCAAAAATATATTACACAAGTTTATTCAAGAACCAAAGCAGAAATATATTTGACAGTATGAAAATTTGAAGTCATCTTTGGAAATATAAAAGATGTATCAATCATTTAAGTTGTTAAAACATGTATTGTCTTACACAGAACCATTTAATTTTATGTAAGATCAAGACATTAATCATTCAAATAACAATTTTGAATGCATTTCTTTTTGAATTCTAAAATAAATCTTGAAATTTCCTCAAGACTTCACAAAAGGAAAAAATTTTGTGTGCGTATGTTCTTATAAGTTTAATTATGAAACTTAAACATTAATAAAAAAAAAGTTTATTTTAAAATGTTTTCTTGTTAAAAGATGTAAGTTTATTTCATTTTTATTTAATCTGTCTGTTCATTTATTAAACATTATTTTTTATATTAAAGATTTTGTTATTAATTATATATTTAATCATAGAAATATAACTTTAAAGACTATACTATATTAATAAATAATTCAATCTAAATTCAATAATTCAATTTAGATTTGATGGCAAGATTGACCAACCAAACATCGGATAGTGTACGACCAGCCTGCAAAAAATGTGGCTATCGTAAGTATAATGAAAGCTATTCTATCATTAATTTTTATTTTAATCAGATTTTAATTTTTAATTTAAATTATTTTTATTAAGAAAATATATTTTATAAATCTTAAAAGTTAAAAGAATATTTTTCATAAAGAAAGGACATAAAAATGAAAAATTGCAAAAAATGAAAGCATAAATATTTTATGTCTTAAAATCAAATTAATTTAGCAACAATTATATATTCCTTTTTCTTATTGTTTTCACATATTTTTACTTTATATTGCAACTATTCTTAATGCATTCTATATTCTATAGTTCATTAGTGGTATGTAAAATACACATTGTTCTGCTTGAAAGTACCCAATTTGATTTGGCTATAAAAAGTTAATGATTAAAGATATAAGTTCATCAAAGAGTTTATATGAGAGAAAAACTCATCAAATTTCATTGAAAAAATTACCATATCTCTGTGCACACCAGCAGTCACAGTGATATCATCAAGGCAATTTTTTGCTATGTCAGCTGCAGTATGTCCTGTCTCACAGTGTCAATGGCTGCAATGATGCACTCCAGAAGTTCTTGAAAGTCTCTGACCAAAGTTGCATAAACCATATCTTTCATGTAACCCCACAGAAAGAAATCCAGATTGGAAGATCTTGATGGCTGCATCATCGGGCATACCAGACCATGATTGGACAATAATGCTCACAATTCAACTTCTATGTCATCTTGCAGTATGAAAAAAATCTCCATTAAATTTGATGGGTTTTTCCACAAGTGCCATTTGTTGCTTTTATATATCTTGAATCGTTAATTTTTATGGCAAATTAAAATTGGGTACTTTCAAGCAGAACGTTGCATTTTAAATGAACATTATTTTCTGTTATATTAGTTGTATGAATGATTTTTTATTAAAGTACAGGGTTGGTTTATTTATTTATTTTCAGTTACATTAGGAAAAGTTTGGCAATGATAGATTTCCTCCCTCCCCCCAATTAACATTAAAACCCCAATTAAAAGATGAAAACTTAATTGCATACCTGTAATTAAAATGACAGTTTCTACATTTAATGTTTAGTAAAAAGAAATCCAGTAACGAGTTGCTTAACTTTTCTGACAACATTTGGTGGCACCATCTGTTATCATAATTTATTAAAAAACTTTTTATATTTTTAACAATTATAAAATGGCAAAAAGCTTGATTTTGAAGATATGGATGGGTTTTATAAAAAGATTGTAAATGCTAATAATGAGTAAAATTGCCATTAAGTCTGATCCTAATGGAGATACACACGACTCTCTTTATCTCTCCACTCCCCTCTACCTTTAATCACCAAAATTTAATAGCATCAATTAACCTAATAACAACAAACTGCCATTCAAAATTTCAGAAATTTTCAACAAAAGGTACAGGAGTTATTAGGCTTCAAAAAGGAAGAATAATATCGTGCTCCCCACTCACACACACACTAACATCTATACATATAGAAATTACCTTCAAATTTTTTTTGTATTACTCAACATTTTAAGGTGTCCTTAGTCTATGGTGAGTGGTGTAAAAGATTTTTACACACTCACCATACTTTCTCTCTGTTTTATATAACAGCTGGGAAAGTAATAATCTGAGGAAATCCTGTTTAATACTATATATCTGCGCAGATAAGACGAGGCATAAATTTTTGTCGAACTTTTATAGTTTCAGCATATATCTGTCCTATAAGATGACCCCCAAACTATCAACAGCCTATAAATTTAGTTTAGATCAGTGATCATCAGTATTATCATCTGGATAATAATACTGTATGGTGTATACGGAATTATGTCCAATTCGTAATTTTTCGAATGAAAAAATTCTATTTTCTTGCGTCTGGCAGCACTGCCTTGCTATTGTTGCAAACATTCACACTGATTCGGGGTGACCTTGACTATTCATCACAAAAACATTGTATGGGCTATTCTATTTTGTGGACATACCCCACTCTATACTAGTAAATAATTACAGTTTGTCCACTTTTTATAATGGTTTTAATTTATATAAATTTCATCCAATTTTTTTTGTATCTGTCCTATAAGATGACCTCGGATTTTGGGGAGCTTGTTTTATGATTCAACTATCATCTTTGCAGATATATGATACTTGATTACAAAAATTTAGGATTGGATGCAGTTTTTTCATAGTTTTTGCAATGTTAATTAATATCTTGCTTGATTTACATTCACTTTCATGTTTAATAACATTATTTTCTTTTAAAATAATATTTAATAATGAATATTGCTTCATTAATATACAAGATATAATCAAAAAGTTTCCAGACTGTGTGCACAACTTTATTAATACAAATGACAAAAGAAATTATTTTAAAATTTATAAAATGGCATAAAAAATCTTGCCTAGCCTTGCTAAGATTTTTTTACTGTCAAAAATTTTTTTCTTCCATAAACTTTATTAAATGTTGATAAGTAACAACAACTTAAAAAATGATCCAAATACTGGTTAACAAATGCTGTGAAAGAGGTGATGTTTAGCAATTCTATTTACATGTTCTGAATATATAACTGCCTTCAATATTTGTATTTCTTCTAATGTTTTGTAACAAGCTATAACTTTTCAAATTGCATATTCATTTGGTATAGTGTTTTACAAAAAGAAAACATGTAAAAAGGAATGCATATATAACTTTTTGTTTTAATGCAGTGTAATGTCTCAAAGACTTTTTTAAATGTTAAAAACAACTTTAAATGAAATTACTGTTACAAGCAAAGTTTGTTTGAACTAATGTGACTGTTTAATAGTTCAACCATAACCATCTGTTATTGGTGCATGATGTATCACGTGATCTGTTCATTTACAATGACTTATAACTGTTGTTTTGGACTGCATGTATGCATCAGTTTTAAGATGCAAGTCTACTTTGAAGAAATAAAAATGAATAAAAATATAATAAATGTCTTAAAATTGAGGAAATAATATATTTATTTTTGATATATCAATATTAAAATTGTGTATGAACTTAATGTTAAAATTGCAAAATATCTTGAATAAGTGTGATAAACATGTATATTAAGAATAATTGCATCATCGTTTGTATGACTAATAGTAGTAAATTAATATCAAACAGCACATTTTGACTAACCAACCCATCAGATTTTCAGTCAATTTAACATGTTTTTTTTTTGATTATTTTTCACAATGAAGTATAATATAAATGACACAAGGCTTTCTTTATATCTGTTTAATTTTCTTTTTCCATTTGCCGAAATGTGTTTCGGGTCTTTGCCCCTCTTCTGTCAGCTTTTTCCGTTATGTTGTTATACATTTAATTTTCCTAAAAGTATAATAGAAATGCATCTTTGCAAATGGAAAAGGAGAATCAAATAAATGTAAAGAAAGCCTTGTGTCATTTATACTGTATTACACTTAATTGTGAGAAATAATCAAATAGGAAGATTGACATGGTTTCATATAAAGAAGATTTTTTCATTTGGTAAAACACTTTATCAAATGAATATGCAATTCAAAAGTTACAGCCATTTACAATTCGATATGAAATTTTGTAAGAAAATAAAGATTTCTTGATTTAACTTAGCATGCAATACGATTATAATCTTATTGAATGACAACTTAAATCAATGAATATTAATTGTATTGAAAACAAATATCTTTTTTAGTTTTGTAAAGATGTTGATATAATTCTTCTCATTAAAACATTTAAAAAATATGGAAATAATATTTTATATATGCTAAGTTTAAGTAAATTAAATATTTTATTGATATATGTTCTGTTCTGTTAAATTAATATGGGTAATATTTTTATAATTATATTAATTTAATAATAAATTACTTGATATTTAACTATTTCTATTTATTTTTGTTTATTGTTTAATTATTCTGCTTGTAAGATATTTGAAAATATAGAATAATTTTTAACTGTAGCTGGACATTTTACATACCAGTGTCGTAACTTCCTGAAAGTGAATCCTAACAAAGATATTGTATTGGACATAAGTAGCACAAGTTCTGAAACAGATAGTGATGAAGAATTTATCTCTCCTTTATCAAAACTCAGAGGTAAATCTATTATTTGCATATAAGATTTATTTTGGAAAATATTTAAATTAATATATTAAATAAAATCCTTACAGTCCATTAGAGACCCAAAATTTCTCCCAACATAAACAAAATTTTCCCAAAAATTTAAAGTACAAAATTGATAAATAATTTTAATTTAAATGATATTATTTTTCATTTTAATAATTTTGATTGTGTAACAAAACAATTTTTTATTTTATTTTTTCCAGTTTATTAATATTTTAAAAAGTTCAGGAAATTTATTAAGAGAAATTTAATAAAATACAGTATATACTTTTGTACATGAATTATACAGGATTTGTTAATGAATAATAAATAAATAATTATTTTTTTCTTTTTTTCTAAGTGGTATAGATTTATGGTTGTGGATTAACAACAGAGTAAACTGTACTTCAATTTAATAAAACATTTTCTTTTTAGTTATATATATTTTATAATTGCCAAATTATTACAACTATTAATTAGAAAAAATAAGTAATTAAAAAGTTCAAGAAGCAATAGCATATGTGCATATTAAGTCAAATGCTGTTTTATTTTGCCAATATGCCATACCATAAGAGATGTGAGGGTCAGGGAATTTGTACAAAGCTTTATCAGGGAAAGTTATAAAATTTAAAACAAAATTTGAATAGGAACCCTGTTCTGATGTATTTCAAGTTTGGAATGTTGATGAGTAATATCAAAATATTATCAAAACATGACTTTGGTTTTAAATTTTTCATTTCAATATTTTTTCAAATTTATTTTAATGAGCTTTAAAATATTTTAAAATATGATTTGAAGAAATCAGATGTAATTATTACTTTATTGTATACAATTTATATTGTATGCTTTGCTAAGTTTTATAATATATATAAATAATTTTATATATTTTTCATTTGTATTTATAATTAATTTCTGTATTTTAAATCTTTCTAAGAATTCAAACAATTCACAACACAAAAAAAACATTAAAAAAGTTGTAAATGGTTCAACTTTTTAATGTTTTTCAAATGAATTAGTTTTGAGAAGTCATGTGATTTAGAAACTGATTTGTTATACCATTGTGTTAAGATCTTTTTTATTTACTTTTATCAGGGCTTTCATTCACTGCTAATCAAATCATTTTTGCAAATAAAACTATTCAAACAATAAAATAACTATAAAAAAAAAACTATAAAATTCAAAAAATATTTTTATTTACTTTTTGGCTATGTTAGAAATGAATAAATCTTAATTTCTTGTGATTTGAAAATAAACAACTTATAATTAACTATTCTTTGTTCCTGTTTTATGATAAAGTTCTTAGATGATACATCCCATGCAAAGTTTGTGTTTTTTACATTTCCTTTGTTGTTTCACTAAAAATCTTTTTATATAAATATTATAGTTAATAGATAACCAAAGCCACAAATGCAAGAAGCAATATTTATAAATTTTACAGGGTTTTTGGGTTATAACACATTTCCATACTCAGTGTACATTTTTTAGATTGATAGTGACCTTGAATTTCTCTAAGTGGTTTTTCTTTATTTTTATCTTTTTGTAAAATTTTGTGTATGCAATGTAGACATGATGTAAGTAATATTTAAGGTATTGTTTTATTATTGTAAGATAATTACAACGGAAAAAACCTTTGTAGTATTTACATAAGGTACATTATAGATAGATAAATTAATTTTTGTTTCTTTTTGTTTTTGTTTACTTGTACTTAAAACATTGTATTATAATATATCATAGATAAAAATAAATAAATAATTATTTTGGGGCAATAAAAAAACCGTATTATCAAATTGGACAATACACAATCCATAATATTCATAGTGAAGATTGTAGAGCATTACTCATTCAGGTTTAATGGGGCTTTTATATCACAATAAAATATTAAGATTCTCTTCTTGTATTCAGCATATTTTGAGAATATAAGACTGCACTGAAATATTTGACTGAAATTTTTCACAAATTATTCAAATTACTAAATAATTTTTTCAGGCAGTGGGTTCCCTGCTTTTATTTAACTTTATTATATGTTTCATATTTCAATTTTAAAGGTGAAATTACAAATCTCATTAAATAATGCACTAAGAAATTAAGACTACATTTACAATAAATAAATCTATTATGAAGTTATTAGAATGATATTCAATTTTAAAATTCACTGAAAGAATTAATATTTTTTAAAATCAGCAAACAGTGAAAAAATTGTATTGTTAAAACATTATTATAGCTTTTATTTGATATTATTGTGAAACTAAATTGTTTATCACAATAGACAAGTAACATAACAATTTCATCTTTAAATGAAAATTATGGTTATTCATGTCTGAATAAAGAAATAGTGAATAACTTATTTCATAACAAGATGTTAGTGTTATTTAATTAGGTAAGATTATAATTTAATCAAATCTTTCAAATTTGATGATATATTTTCAAGGAATTACTTAGAATAATTTTCTTAATTTTGAATGTAATATTTTGATTATTAAATATCATATAGAAATGGAAGCAAAACAAACTTCAGCTGAAAATACATCTCAAGATAAACAGGAAAGAAAGAAGCTGAAAAGGTATTTTTTAAGCAGTTAAAAAAGAAATAATTTATTTCAATTTCTAAATTTCTTTGTTTACATTTTTGAATAATCACAAAATTTTTGAGACATTTATTTAGGTCAGGGCTTCTTAAACTGTGGGTCACAACTCTAACGGGGGTTGCAAAAATTTTATAAATACATAGTACAAAATTTTACTGTTAAGCAATGTGTTTTCAGCATTGATGATTATAAAATCAAGATGTTAGTCAAGTTTGAAAAACAAGAAACTTTGAAGATACTTCATATACTGTGATATTAAATACATGAATTGTTTTATGATTTATTATTAGAAAGAGATTTTGTTTGTTTACTTATTTTAAGTACCTGTATACTGGGGATCTTCAGGTAAAAGGGCATTGTGAGTGAAAAAGTTAAAGAAGCCCTGATTTAGATCAATTGTTTAATTTATTAAACAATTAAATAAATTGACATTTATTTAGTTTTTAGAAAAAAATTAAAAATTTTTAATGTACATTAATCTGAAATATTAACATCATATTAAACATTAAAAAAATTTTCATAGAAAATAAGTTTTTTAATATAAATATTAACCGATAATATATAAGATGTTTATTAAATCTTTGATGAGTATGTATGTATATATATATATATACACACACGAGAATCTCATTTTAATGGATTGCTTGGGCTGCTGAAAATCACCCGTTGTTTCAATAATCCATTATATCAAGAAAGATGGATTTCCTGCATATCCAGGAAAATATCCTTTAACCCCCTACATATAAGAAATACCTGTACTTGAAATTATTCAGTCTCTTGAGATCTCTATTCTTTATTTTATAGAAACATGTATGTTACAAGATCATGTATTATGCCTTACATGTGTGTGAAAAAACTGATGGAAACTGTATATACTGTAAGCCAAAAAAAAAGCAAATTATGTATGCTCATTAGCACTTCAGTTGACTTCACTATTTGTTAAAAAAAACTTATCCATGTTTGTTTGCTTTAATGCTTTTTTTCTGCTTATTGAATACAACTACTTGATATTAGCAATGTCATGTACAAAATTTTTTTGCATTTCTCAACTTTTCAAGACCCATTATTCTGAGTTACAGATCTACTAAAGGAGGTAACGTTACATTGATTTGGCAGGACCTGGGAAAAAATCTGTTATTCTGAGAAAACTATTGTTTAGTGAACCATTAAAATGAGATTCTACTGTATATATATCATATGTAATGGATTCCATAGAGTAAGCATGTATACATATTCTTCAAATTTGTCCTATTTTGATGTGTTCCTATATCTACAGACAGATATGTAAACTTTACAGACAGCTAGAGATATCTTTTGACAGGAATATAAAAACCAAGTGGGAAAAAGTTTTCTAAGTCTTGCAAGATATAGCCTAGAATTTTCTAGCATAAAGACAAACATGGCAGTTGTTCATACTTTCTATCTTTTTCTGAATTGATGGAATTATTTAATACAATTGGAAGAAGAAAAGAATATTGTCTAGTTTATTAAGAAATATGAATACAGTATTAATTGTTTTGTAAATGTTACATTTCTGAGAAACAACCTCAGTAGTATGCGTGCATACAATTTTTTTAGTTTTTTTTGTCAGTGTTGACATCACAGCTGTGCAGTTTCTATTGCAAAAAATATGATTCTGATGAAGCAAATGTCATAATGCACTTTGAAGCAGTCATTCTTTGATTTATAATAAAATGGTTTTACTGCACAGATGCTGAATAAACAATTATATCTGTAAGTATTTTGGATTTTGTTTTAAAGAAAGTATATCATGTAAGATTAATTTTGGGAAAAATAAATACATTGTTAATTGTATAACAATATGCATCTTTTCGGTCAATCATAAAGCCACACTCCATTTCTTCAAATCTATAATACCAAGACATTATACAATTGTATGCGGGTGTCTTTCTGAAATCAAAAACGTGAGAAAATTTAACACTGTCACACAAACTTTGCTTACAAAGGACACACTTAGCACACTGCTTTATAGTTAATAGCATTTCTACTTTTGTCATGTGATAAAACTACCAGTTGAAACTTTCACCTTTTTTGCCATTATGGAAACTTTTGAACTTCATACAACTAATGCATTTATTATGACATAGCTTTCATATTATCTCGTCCAAATCTGATTATTCTAAAAAATCTCAACATTTTTATAATTCTAACATCTCAGCAACTTTTTGCATACATATATTTAATTTTATATATATATATATATTATGGATTGTTTTACATGTTATATGTTGAATTATATAAAGTAATGTTGATTTATTAAAACTTAAGATTATAATAATATAAAGTTAAATATATTTAAAACAATTGTAATTATTTTCAGGAAGAAAAGATCTCGTTCACCAGGAAATTCTGATTCTGGTAGTGAGAGTGACATAGATACCGACACCAGTTCCAGCACTCGACGCCGCAAACACAAAAAACATAAACGCCACAAGAAAAAGCAAAAGAAACCAAAAAAAGCTTCCAAAAAGCACAGGAAAAGTAAGACCAATAGCGATAGTGACATGTCTAGTTAAATTATCAGAAGCAGTCAAACTTATAATCTCTCTCATCCAATAATATATTCGGACATATTAAACACATCTTGAAAATTGTTAATTCTTTCATCTGTATAAAAGAACATTAAAGGAAATATAAAATAATAAATACAATATATTAAGGTATGCAATTTAGACAGTGATGTAAATGAAAATATTTTTCGAATTAAAATTACTGTCAAATTTGCATTTGTATTACCTCAATTATAAATAATACATATGTGACATGAACTCCTGTAAAGAATAGTTTTAAAATAGTTGGAAGTTTTTTAGGAGTCTTCAAATAATAATGTTCAATTTCCATTTAAATAAAAATAATTGTTTTGACAAATTATACCTACATATATAATGGTGTTTGACTTTTTATTTGGAGTATAGAACATGTTACATGTATATGCAATTTACAAAAAATTACATGATTTTGAAATTAAGAAATATAGCTGTTTGCAATAAAAATTTTAACTGAAATTCAAATAGTTGGGCATAATTTCACGATAGTGATTAAATTAATGCATACACATCATACAATAATTAAAATTTAATACGAAAATTGGTACTATTTTAATATGGTCATGCAATTTTAATGTTAAGATACAGATGTGTAATTTATAATTTAAAAGATGATTTTACAAATTATTCCCATATTCTATTACAATTTTACAAGAAATTAAAAATATTTGTAAATATGATGTATAAATTTTTAAGTTCATTACATACAAAGGCCATTACATGTTATATTGGAAAAAATATTACCTCTAATTTAAGAAATTGAAAGATATCTGAATATTTAGGAGTTATTGTATTTTTTTACTGAGTTTTTTGAAGGAAATAATTATTGTTGTGCAGCTCATGTAAATTTTATTTAATTTTATACAAGATGTATTCTTACTGTAGCCATAATTCAGTAGGTGACCACTGTGGTTTGCAATCCTATATCAGATGTGTGCACATTCGTTGAAATGAACGAGAGACATAAAGATGGCGACCCACTTGGAGATTTGAACATGTGAGGGGGTGCAATCTGTTCGTTTCTGGTGGATGAAGCATATGCCATCAGCAGAAATCCATTGTGAATTAGATGCTGTATATGAGAAAACAGTAATGAATTGCATCAATGTGGCAAAATGGTGCCTACAGTTCACAGAAGAAATTGGTAATGCAGAACGACTTAAATCTCTCCCTGATTGCTATCGGTGCGAGAAAGTCCTTTTCCATATTCTGTAAATGAAAAGTTAGAAGTTGCTCGACACGATTGTCTTCACTGGTTTGATGGTATGGAAAAAAGAAACATTTCTCAAATTCGTTTTACGGATTTTTCTATAAGTGAGAAAGAGCCTTTACTCAAAACCATTATCTACATATAAAGAAATACTGTAAACAAAAATCAACGTAAATCTTATGGTTCTAATAGGCACAGTGCGATTTAAAGTTCGTCCGCACTGGCGTGGAAACGACAGGCGCTTCCACCAACGAAATAACGACATGGCGCGTCCAAAGACGCAAAGTAAATTATGACGTCGGCAAATCAGCCCAGCCACTTAGTGGTGACCACGCTGCGGAGACACTTTTCCATCGCACTATATAATCCATACTTAGCTAACATCAGAGAGAGAAATATTGCTTATTCAGAATACAAAATCACAACTGACGAAACACAGTCTAAAAGAAGTATGCGGTAGAAAAATAATCACCACAATCAATATATAAATTATATTAACATAACGAAAACTTTTATAAACTATAGGAAAGTTTAAAATATCATAAAACCGTTTGAGAAGCGAAGCAGTTCTTGACGAACCATGCATTTTGCTTTTCAAGTCTTTTTCATTAGCTTTATAGAGTTTCCATTTTGTTTAAATGTAGCATGTTAATGAAAAATGTCCTGTAATATTTAGGGGTAGACGATACTTAAATTAGAAATGCCGTGTGTGTTATGCGAAAAAATGTAAATACGAATTTTCAGTCTACGCTGCTATAAGATTTTAATACTTAGATGTAACGAGTAGAGCAAGGTTTGAAAGAAATAGTGAAAGAATGAGGTCGATGGTAATAATATTTGCATAATTTGGACACGAAAATGAAAAAATAAATAAATACATTTGTGTGGAATAGAAGAATCAGCTTAGTCTTTTTATTGTCGTTAAGCAATTGTTATCATTGTCGAAATACATTGTCGTTTGCATTGTTGAAGGTTAAATGACGATTTTTACAATAAAAATGGGGATTTTGTGGTTGGAAAGGGATTACATTGTCGTCGACCCAAAAAATTGGTTGACAAGTGCAAGAAGCGTGTATGTGTGTAAAAAATGAAACGACAGACTAGAACACAGTCAGGTGCATCGTTCATGTTTATATTATTTCTATTTTTGGCTTATTTGTGGGTCGAAGGGGTTCTTCCAACGGGACAGTGGTCCCCAGGATCGCCGATAAAGCGAAAATTTCAAAGGGGGCCAGTAGGGCGGCTCAAGAATGGGATAAGCCCCGGAGAGCGACCCTGCTACAAAAAGAGGCTGCAGGGCGGAACCGAAATCCGTATCTTAATCCGGTTGTAATCGACCAACTGCGGGTTCAGCGCAGGGCGCCGGATCCGCCCAACGAGCAGGCAGTTGTCCCGGGAAACCCCCCGCCGAGCAAAGGGGCTCGGATTTTAAATAAAGTTTATTTATATCCTAATTAAGACACATGTTGCACATGCAGAACTTATAATAAAACATGTATAGTGTGCATTTTTTGCGCTCGGCTGACGCCCGCAAAACGCGCGTTTTAACAAAAATCTATCAACGCGCGTTTGACCACGCATGGCCAAAAGCGCGTGTTTGAGTATGTATGCCTAAAACGCGCGTTTAAAAACGCCTAGTGTGCACACAGTCTTAATGTACGTTCTCACGACGCACCCTAACTGTGTACCAAATTTAAACCTTCAACTCCTAATCGTTTGGACTCTGCGCTTCTTATTGTTCGGAGTGGCTATTTCAAAGGGCAATTTTGGCAACTAAAAATAATATTGTCGACGATATCAACTTTAATATTCAAAAGAAAATTCAGAACTGGCAAGAGCTCCTCCTCTTTTAAGTTTGGGCATTGTATAAAATATAAATCAAATCAACTTTTTATTAACAAATACACTAACTTGTAAGTAAACTTTACACAGTTTTCATACTTTATTTTCGATTTATATTCAGTCACCGTATCAATTTGACTACTCACACCTCACTGTTTGTTTTTATTCACTCACTGCACTACTTTGGAATTTTCACTTCTTTTTCGGTTCTTCCCTTCGTCACTGATAATAAACTGACGTTCGAACCCACGACGGATCTTGATTTAAATACCCCCACCAATGGATAGTCTCACCGATACGTAAGGTAGCCAACCCGGTGGAGATAGGGGACTTGAAACCCACTCCACGGCACCTGTGTAGGGTTGCCGTCTCCTAGGTGGGATCTATTAATTTAATCCCGCGTCAGGATGAACCTAAGGGAAGGTTGTATGTGGGCTGTGACGGAGGAGGCAAATGATGACACGTGTTTTACTAAAGAAAGCCGTTTATTTGTTAACATTTATGCTTACATCGACAATCGACAATCCTTCACTAGGTTCTTCTCGTCGAAGATGCGGAGAGGAGAGAACTTTGGCGTCTGTCTGGCCCCGGGGCGGACGAGATGCTGTCGCTGAGCAAGGCGGACGATCGGAAGTTTAAGCGGCGGAGTCCAAAGTTCTTGGCGACGACACACCACAATATAAATCACGACCTTTCGTGGAATACGGAGGAGAGCCCTCTCCGACCTCGAATTTCGGATATTTATAGTTTTTTCTCCCACTATTCGGACTTTTGATTGGCCCCTCATCCCCTTCCTCGCTTTTCGATTGGTCTCTCCAGAGTCGGTAGATTAACTGGTCTTTCGACTAATAGTTCAAACTTAGCTAGAGACAATATTTGCCGCTAGTCGGCGCCACTGTTAGCAGGAGATCGTTGTTCTTGCTAGGTATATACTGAAGTCAGTGATTTTGACCTNATAATTTAGCTCCGTTACTCGCGATTTCTGTCATCTGGGTACTCGAACGATCATATGCAATGATTTATCTCTCTTTTCCGAAATTTTTTCCCTAGATTGATTGTTTATGAGCGCTGGGGTCAAAGTTCTACCTGTATATGACCACTTGTCTCTGACTTATAACTTTTCATTCTGACGTTTAACACGTGTTGGAGTCATCCGAGACTCGTTGTCTATTTTGTGCCGCGTTGGTTAGATTAAGGAATTTTTCTCTCCCTCTCATATTTAATCTATCGTTATTATTTAAACATAAGAATTCGGACCTCGGTTGGGTCCTCACACACACAAAAAAGGCTTCGAATGGTCCACAATGTTCCAGAACAATCTACAACATTCGAGAGCGTTCTAGAATGTGGAATGCTCTCGAATACTCTGGAATGTTCTGGACTGTTCTAGAAATTTCTAGAGGGCAAAACTTCCAGCCCTTATATCTTCAACAGCACGCCGTTCAGGTGAAAACGGGAACGTTCTTCATGGATGGGGGATAGAGGGCTACCACACCATATAACTTCTTTGATCGTACCGGGACTCGTTTTTGAGTTTTAGCGTCTCGCACATTGTACACTTACCTTTATTATATATATTAATTAGATGATTTCATCATCCTTACGAAACAGTTTAAACATAGCATCTGTGCTTTTCAATGAAAATATTTTTAGCAGTGGCGGCACGCCACTGCAGGACAAGAATGTGCCTTACAGAGTCACCATATTGGTTTCTAGTTCACTGGCCACGCCATAGTTTCGTGCTCTGTACTGTACAGTACATAACAGAGGGAAAGTAATACTATGCAAATACAAGATTAAGTAGCCTAAGTTCAAAATATTATGTAAGTTCATATTGTTATATGATTATAATAATAATGAAAACTGTTTGCAGTCTAAAGCTATGCTTTCCCGTCCGAAAAACGAATAAATTGTAATCAAAATAAATAAGAATAAAGTTGTCTTCCGATTAAAATATGTCCTGTTAAAATCAGTATAAACGTGGCTCCGATTGCACGAGTATATCTTAATTAAAGAAAAGAATTTTTTTAAAGTTTTTTCAAAAATTTTAATTGATCCAGAGATTTAAAAACTTTGCTAAAATGATATTTTAGGAATATGATAATTCTAAATCGCGTTTAAATTTGAATTTAAAAATTCGATTGCCGCAGAACGGAATCTTTTCTTTAAATATCGTTCTGGAGGTAATGGATGGCCGCCATCGGTTAGACGAAACCTGGCCGTCTTTCTCCATCCATTTACATCTCCACAAAGACTGTCTTTATCAGAAGGCTGTAAACGTGAATTAGTTAAGTCCACGACCACGTTTTAAACTAAAACAAC